TCCTTCTTCCCTTCCCTTTTTCATCCTTCCTTCCCTTTCTCATCCTTCCCTTCCCTTTCTCATCCTTTCCTCTCCCCCACTTCCCCGTCTCTTTCCTTCCTTCCTTGCACCCCATTGCTCCTTCTCTCTCTTTCTCTCTCCCTCCGCACTCTCGGCCAACCTACGCAGCTCGTTGTTCCTGGTGATGGCAATGGAGGCTCGGGCCCTGGGGCCCTGCTGCGTGAAGTGGTACCCGAACCGCGTGATGGAGGTGCACTTCTCCAGCATGGCAGCCATCTCCATCTCCACCGAGTCACCCAGCCGCTGGCGCTGCGGGAGGGAGGGGAAGTAGCGTCAGGTGGCGTGTCTAAAGTTTAATTGTTCCCCAGTTGGGGAAATGCAGGGTCGCAAAGTCTGTCTTGATGGTGTCAAACTTCTTAACCTTGTCAACTTTAAGCTGGGTGGACTTCAACTCCCAGAATTCCCCAGCCAGCAAGCTGGCTGGGGAATTCTGGGAGTTGTAGTCCATCCAGCTTAAAGTTGGGGGCCCCTCACCTGGTTGTCCACCTTCAGTTCGGCCAAGGTGCTGTTTTCCTTCATGGCTTTGATGACCTCCATCATCCCTGCGCTGGTGATGAAGTTGGACTCGATGTTGAGCGACTGGAGGCTCTTGTTCTCCTTCAGCATCTCGGCCACCGCCTAGATAGAAAAAAGGGGTCAGGGGAGAGCATCACCTGGGGGGGGGGAACCCCAAGGGCAGCCACCCTCCACGGCCTCTGGGTGCCGGTCCCCTGGGGGAGGATCTTGGGGGCTTACGTGGGCCACTGGATCGTTGCTTCTGGTGGCCACTAAGCTGAGCTGCTTGACGTGGGTGTTTGCTTTCATCGCTTCGCAGATTTCCTTCAGGGTCTGGATGGGGATGTCCTGGGCGGGAAAAGAGGGGGGACGGCCGTCTGTGTAGAGGGGACCCCTTGGAGGGTCCTTTCCCCCCCCCCTCTGGCCGCCTCTGCAGGTGGGATGGGGGGGGGCGACAACCTCTGTGTTCCCCCACATGGCCGCCTCAGACTCACAGCCATTTTTAAAGCAGTCATTAAGGGAGTCCAGCTCCCCCAAAGGTCACAAATCGTGCTCCCGTGATCGCAAGACGCTGCAACCGGTCGTAAAGGCGAGACGGTGCCAAGCGCCTCGAATTGTGCTCCAATAACCGCCGAGGAGCAGCGGCTATTAAGCGTGAGCACAGGCCATGAAGTCACTGTTCGCAAGGCTGTCCTAACTTGGAATTGTTTGACAAAGGGCCGTAACCCGAGGACTAAGAAGAGGATAACCCCAGGATAGGACCGGTCCACGTCTCCCTGGTCAGTTCACCGCGGGGTCCTGGGGGGGGGGGTTTGGCACTCACCTGGATGTTATTCAGGTTCACCTCTTCCAGGTCTCTGTCGTTGCTTCGGACTTTCGCCAGGGTTTCTTCGGCATTGGTGGGGTTGGGGGGCTCATCCGGGACCGGCTTGTACTTGTCCGGCTGGACCACACCTGCGCAGAAGAGGATGGGGGGGGAGGACTACCTGAACCTCTTCTCACCTCTTGACGTCACCCTCAAGTCTTGATCTTTGGCCAACAGGCAAAATGGAAGCCCCTGGCCTGAAGACCCCCCCCCTCCTCCCCCAGGGTGGTTCTTTCCCTTGGCAGGGGACGATGAGCTGTGTAGTGGACGAGACAGTGTTCAGCCAAGCGAGACAGTTTGTTGTCCCCGGGCTGAACGTGTGTGGTGGGGGGGATTCAGTCAAATTGGGCAGGGGCATCTTTTGAGCCTCCTGGGAGCCCCTCCGCCGGCAGGGAATCAAATCCTCTCTACCTGCCCAAACTGTTTTTAAATATGCCCTGTAACAACACCTTAATTCCCCACTTCTCGGTGTCTTTCACCCCTGCAGCCGAGGCAGGGGAAGGTGTGGCTTGTCATGAGGACTAGAAACCTGGCGGGGCAGGGGCTCCCCCCCTCAGCGGTTCCTCTTCCCTGAAGCCCAACCCTGCCCACTCACTGTTGATGCCTTCCGTGTTGCTGATGTTGCCGCTGCAGATGGCGTCGTAATATTGCTTGTTGCTCATCAGGGTGTACATGCCCAGGATGGCTGCAAGGAAGCAGAAGGCCGAGAAGCCCCGCTGGATCCGGGTTAGAAAAAATAACCCGGTTTGCTGCACAAATCGTTGGCTTAGTCCAAACCTGGCCTGGCTCAGTTTCTCAAGCGGAGCAGGCGAGAGACGGCTGGCGGAGCTCCAGGCAGGGACTAAAAGGAGAAAGGCTGCGGCCCTATCGGCTTACGCCTCGCTGAGTGTCGATGTGGGGCAGGCCGCTGACCCGCCTCCCTCCTGCCACTGGCGGGGCCAGGCGAGGTCTCTCCTCTGCGTGAGGTGGAGGGATCGGTCTCCTGCGGGGTTTGCGGGGCTTCGAAGGAGCTGCACCCACCCCCAAAACAAACCGTGCCGCTTTTTTCGTGCATTGATCCTAAGTGGGATTGGGGGGGCCTGCCCACAACAGCAGCAGCCAAGGGGGGTTTGCAGCCAACTGCTCCTGGATAGGGAGGCTCCACGGGGGGGGGCCTTGGATGCGGCTCACTCTTTGGCCCCCGTCAGCTGCTTCTTACCTGCGATGTCGCACATTTCGGCGTCGGTGGCGTTGGCCAAGGCTTCCTCCAGTTCCGGCTCCAGGATGACGTCCTCTTCTTTGATGACTTCTTTCTTGGGGACTTTGGGGACGAAGGGCTTCCCTGCGGAGGGAGAGGCAGAAAAGGGTGAGGAACGGAGGAGGAAGGAGGATGCCAAGACACCGAAGTCCGATGTAGCGCGGTGGGGGACTCCTGCAGGGCTCCAACAGGCAGCCTCCTTTATAAGCAGCTAGAGCTCTCAAAATTCCCTTCCTCCCTTCCCTTTTCCTTCCTCCCTCCTTCCCTATCTTTTCTTTATTTCCTTCCTCCCTCCCTCCCTCCTTATTCTTTCCCTCCCTCCCTCCCTTTTCCTTCCTTCCTTCCTTCCTTCCTTCCTTCCTTCCTTCCTTCCTTCCTTCCTTCCTTCCCTTTCCTTCCTTCCTTCCTTCCTTCCTTCCTTCCTTCCTTCCTCCCTTCCTCCCTTCCTTCCCTTCCTTCCCTATTCCTCCCTCCCCCTCTCCCTCCCTCCCTCCCTCCCTTCCCATCCATCAGCTCTGCAAAATTATCCCCTCCCCTCGCTTTTCCTCTCCACTGAACATTAACATTTCAGGGATTCCCAGAGTTCAATGACAATCCGTGTCCTGCTGCCTGGAACGAGTCCCTGAAACGGCCTTCATTCACGCCGGCAATTGGGACGCAGAGGGGGAAGTTCCAGATTTATTAATAGCCGTCAGATGTTGGGCGATTCAGTTATGGGAGGGAGAAAGAAGACGAGGGGTCTTTGGCCTAAATGCGGGGACAACCAGCATGGAGCCCACCCAGCCTCCTTGAAACCAACGTCCTTTCTGAGCCCCCAGGAGCAGGGAAGACGAATATTGAACGTTTCCGTGACTTGCATCCGGGTGACAGTTTGAGAAAGAGGTGAGAAAGTTTGCGGAGAGGCTCAGATTGGGTGGGAACTAATTTTCTTTTTAAGCAGCTAATGAGGGGTCCTTGGGGCTCTTGGTTGTTTTCTTGCAGACGTTTCATGACCCAACCAGGTAACGGCATCAGTGCTAGAAGGAGCATTGGCAGCAAACCCCACCTAGCCCTGATGTTGTTACCCAGTTGGGACATGAAACGTCTGCAAGAAAGCAATCCAGCAGGGACCCCTCATTTCAACCTTGAGCTATAAACATTCTCCTTTACTGGTAAACAGTGAATCCGGGAAACAGAAGAAGTGAAAAGGACGGGGAATTTTCAGGGAAATCTTAGTTTTGGATGCAGTAAAATCTCCTCCTTGGTTTTTCTGCTCTGGTCGGGGCTGGCTCCCCACTGCTCCCTCAGGGTCCTGAAACCCCCTGGGGAGGAAAGGAGGGACCCCAGACTCCATCAAAGCCTTGCTGGCATGGACAGTGGAGCCCAGGTGGGCAGCTTACCTTTCTTCTCCCCCGTAAAGGGCACCAGGTCTTCCCGCTCCTTCGCCTCTATCGCCTGCTTCTCCAGGTGCTGCATCAGGGCGCCTCGGTCCAGGGGGCCCGTGGGGTCTTTCTTTGTCTGGTCCCGTTGCCGGAGTCCAGCCGGGAGCATCATGTTCTGGGAAGCAGAGCAGAAACCGGGGTGCCAGGGATGGCCATAGCGAAACCTCCTCCTTCCACGCCCTGTGAAAACCCCACCAGGAGCATTGGGCCCCTCTGCGGGGAGGGGGGGGCACCCTGGTGTCCCCCTGGCACAGGAGCCTGCACAGTGCGTAAAAGGGGGGCAGGACCACCTGGGGGGGAGGAAAAGGATGATGGGTTTGGGGGTCGTTAATCTTTTAAGCTGCCTGGAGTCCCCTGTGTGTGTCTGACTTGGGCAACCATCAAAATGGGCCGAGTGAACAAATGAATTTATTTTATGGATACCATTGATTGCTCCCCCATCTTGCCACAACTAAGTAAGTCGCAATTTTCTTGTTGTTCCCAAAAGATGGCACATTTTTGCTATTTTGGGCAGGACTCCCGGCTTCCCGATCCCTCAACAGAAGAGGCTCCTAGGCCGTCTGTGAGCCCTTCGATTCGGAGAGTTTGAGAAGGGAATCCAGAGTTTGCCAGAATCCCTCCCCTCTTCCCTGTCCCCCCCCCCCCCCGCCGCCCCCCCCCCTCTCACTTCTGGATCCATTTCCTGCAGCTCCAGGTCCAGCTGGTCCAGCTCCTCCGGGGAGAGTTCCTTCAGGAGCTTGTCTTCATCGATATCTCGGTATTTCTCCAGCTCTTGTCGGTAGGAAGTCGTCATGGTGAGCGTGGCCAAGAAGCAGTTGGCGGAGGGTCTCCCCTGCGAGGAAAGCCAGCCAGGCCGGGGGAAGAGCTACAGCTTACGGGAAGCCCAAAGAACGCGCCACAAACCTACTTACGGAGCCACAGGGGGCACTATTAGTGGAGGGGTCAGCAGGACTCCCTGCCTCATGACGGTGGGAATGCTCTATCGTCCTAACCTCGCCAACTGTGCCTCCTGCTATTTGGGGGACAGCTGGAGGAGCCTGGCGTTGGACGCCTCCCTTTGCAGATCCGCTCGTTCTTTCGAGGATCAATGGAAGACGCCCTTAGCAGCGCTGAACTGGCTGGAAAGGGTCTTGGCCCTTTGGGTTGGCCAGCTGCCGATGGTGGGGAGGAAGGAGAAGAGAGTGTTGAATGAGCTATGGGACCAGCTGACTCTGCTCCCACCCGCTTTACGCCCCCCCCCAGGCCTCCTTTTATGTCTTGAGAAATGTAAGATGAGAGCCGCGATGGCTGTCATGTTAGCCAGAACTCCCTGCGCATGGAAATCTAAGCTGTCCGAATGAAGTCTCTCCCCCCCCCCACCTGCTGTGGCCAGATTTGAGGTGGTGGCCACCACAGGCAGGAGGGGATGAACCACAGCTGGACAGCCCCCTCCCCCGTTTTTCTAGGCACCTTCACGACTTTTCCAACTCTTTATACTTTATTCTGAGTGGTGAAGTCAGAAACCATTTCTTTGCGTGTGGGCTAGTTGTTAATCAGTCAATTCCTACTGCAACTAAGGGATCAGTTGTTCAGTTGATCCTAAAGAGTGGAATCTACACAACTTTTGGGGATAGGCTAGGAGCGGGGGGGGGGGGGGGGGGGAAGAACCCACCCACCCACCCAGCGAGTGGATTTGCCATTAGAGAAATGAGTTTAGCAAATGTCCCGCTCAGGCCTTCCACCCCTCCCCTTTTCTTCACACTTCATTGCGGCCAGCAGGTAGAAATTCGAGCTGAAGGGTTGAACTTCTGCCTTGGCCGCTGATGACCTACGAGAAGCCGGTGGGACTGGATCCCCCTTTTTCTCTGGCCATGGAGGGGAGGAAATCCCCAACCAGGATGACACCTTTCGCTGAAGGTTCCTAGTTTCTGCACACACACACACACACACACCAACTTTTAGGGGAGGAAAACCTGCATTTGTCCCGTTTGACATTTCAAGGACTTCTGGAAGATTTGGAGGGGTTGGTTTTATTGGTGCCATTTTGGAGGAAATTCACCTTATCAATCCCTTTGGATGCTTTTAGCCTCAAGACAGACTCTTTTCTTAATGGGGGGAGGGAGGGGGCTTCTTCTGTGCAGCTCAGAGGCAGCCTTGTTCCTGAATTGCAGACCCCCGTTTCGCCCCCCCCCTCCTCGGGGGTCTCGTCCCCAAATAAACTCCCTTCTGGACCTTTTCTCTCCGAGGCTAAACCAGCTCAAAGCAAAACTCTCAGAAGTCATTCCCTCTGTCCCCCGCCGCCCCCCGCCCTTCCCCAAATCTTTGGCACCAGAGGACCCTCCTGGCCTGGATAGCCCCCCCCCCGCCCCGCCCTCCATCACGGGTGTGGCCAGGTAGCGGCGACGCCAAGCCGGGATCAAAGGGAGCTTGTTTACGTCCCTCCCTTCCGACTCGCAAGGCAGCCTTGGTGCTGAATTGGGCCCCGGGGAAGCCGCGGGGAGAGGGTGGCGCCCCGGGTCTCCCCGTCTCAGCCGGAGCCCCGCCGGCCTGGGACCTTCGCCCCGCGGGAGCGAGCCTGCCGCAGCCGGAGGAGCCCCGCCCGCCCTGCCCAGGTGCGCCCAGGTGCGCCGGGGAGCCAGAAGCGGCGGGAGGGCGCCGGATGCTTACCTTGGTCAGCGGCAGCCTCTGCCTGGCCCCGCCGCTGTGCACCCCGCGGGCGGCCAATGGCGAGGCGGCCGAGGGAAGGGTGAGCTCAGCGCTTTTTTATTTTAGCCTGGCGGAGGGGGGGGGGGGGGGGGGGGGGCCGCCCGAGCAGGACTCGCCCGGCAGGCTCGCTTATCAATCACTCCGCAGCCGCCCCGCGGAGCCCCGCCGGCCTCCAGTGGCCACGGGGGGGAATGGCCGGGCCGTGGAGTGGGGGCGTGGAGAGGCTGCCTTCCCTCCTCTCCCTTTTTCCTCCCTTCTCTCCTTCCTCCCTCTTTCCTTTCCTTCTCCTTCCTTCCCCCTTCTTTCCCTCTTTCTCCTCCCTCCCTCTCTTCTATCCATGGTTGTAAAGGGGTTAAGAATCTTTGCTTGCTTTCATTTGCACCCCTATTCCCATGGAGGTCAATCAAACGAAGAAAAAAGGCAAATTTAACCAACCATCATCCTGCTCCCAAGGGATGATAGGGGTAAATTGCCCCTGAACCTGGAGTCTCCACTGATCGCAAAGCCTCAGCAAATCCCATCCCAGGGATTGAAACAGCTCCCGTCTAAATCAGTACCTTTCCTCCTCCATGGGCCCGGAGAGGCTCCCAGGAAAACTGCAGGCAGGACTGGGACACAACGGCCCTCGCTCGCAGTCTGCCTTTACTTTTCTCAGATACAGTGCCCCTGACCTTGGAGGTTCTGCGAGGCATCCTGCAGTCACGGACAGGGCTACACTGTCTGGCCGGGCTGTTTCCCACAGGCGTGTGAGCGAAGAAGTGTTGAAACAAGGCTGCCATTCCAGCTAATCGAGTTCTACCATTAATATTTTGGATAAAACGTTTATGTCCTTCCATTCGCCAATGGGATTACTGGGAGATCAACCTCCGTTGACCTGATTTGAGCAGCAAATGAGGAAATCTCAAAGAGTTTGAAACTCCTCCCTGTTCAGGATCTGACCCGAAATCTCTGTGCTTGCACCTAAATGTGAACTTCGTCTGTCTGAACTTCAGGAAAATATTCCTAAAACTGGCCAAGGCAGCCCAGGAACACCGGCCCAGCCATTCTGTTCCACCTTTGACGGTGTCAGTTTAATTAAAAATGAGGACTTGCTATGAAGCTGTGTATTTATTTTATTTTATTTTTTTAAGAAAAGAGATACTAGCAAATGAAGATCAAGCCACGGCTGGGATTACAGCTTCCCCTGCCCTGATCCGGCCTCCCTCCAACGCAATCCCTTTTCTGTGCGGCCTGCAAGACTGGAGGGAGGCAGAATTTCCCAGCAGAGTGAAGGAACCGCTCTCAACAACCGTCCCAGGCGGGACACAAAAAGGACAGAAAATAAATAATAACCGAAAGTCACAACAGAAACAAAAACCTGACGAGATGTTCGAGGAAAGAATCAGTGCCCTGTTGTGGAATTGCGAATTAGCTGGCACAAAGCTATCGTGGCTCATGTCCGGTTTGTTGGTGACAGACCAGAAGCTCTGCCTGTGCTCAGGAGCCGTTCCACCATCTGGATAACCAGAGAAACAGACAGGAAGAAAGAAACATTTTGGGCCCTGTTTTCACTCTGGGATGGAAAATTAGAGAAGAAGGAACCAGAAATAAAAAAGAAACATTTTGGGCCCTGTTTCCACCACAGATTGCAAATGCAGTGGGTGGGTGTGGGTTATTTATTTATTTTTAGCTGCGGTCCCCTCTTGAACTGGTCCAGAAACTGCCTAGAAAGCACGACCCCAAACAGGCCAAGAAACGGTGTCCGTGCTGCTCTTCCACGATTTTGGTTCCTCCAGCACCAACGACCCGTGGCAGAGACGGAGGGGCTTCAGGGGGCTGGCACGCTCTGCTTGATGATGATTTTCTGCCTGGTGGGCCGGATGCCGGGGTCGGGCATGGGGGAGCCAGCAGCCAGGGCCGCCGAGGCGCCCGCGCTGGGCAGTCCGTGGGCGGTGATGTACTTCTTGTAAGCCTCGCGGATGATCTTGAAGGAGCGGATGTTGGAGTAGGGGATGTCGGTGACGGGGTCGCGGTAGACGGCGGTCTTGTGGCTGACGGGGCAGATCTCCTTGACGGGGAGCTTGGGGGGCGGGGCTCTGGGGAAGACGCGCCTGAAGGTCTCGTCGTCGCTGAAGGTGATGAAGGTGCGGGAGCATTTTGCGGCAGGCGCAGCGGCCGAGGGGGTCTCCAGGAGACCCTCCTGCTCTAACCTAAAAGGGACGGAGGAGGAGAGCGGAGATCGGTTCCTGGCTGGCGTCTCAGAAGCGGCTTTCCTTGGGCTGTGAAATGGCCTTTGGGGCAGGACCCGCCAAGGCAGCCAAAGAGTCCTAAATGCCATCGTGGTGGAGATAATCCTTGACTGACGGCTGCCACTCAGCCCCAAATTTCTGTGGCTAAGCGAGTGTTTAGGTCCCGGGCCAAGCTGCTGCTCTCTGCCCCCTGCCCAGCAGGCCAAGGGGAGGGGGCACTTACCCCTCCACGTCCACGTTCTCCTCCTTGTATCCCAGGTCAGAGATGAGGGGCATCGTGCCCGAATAGTAGCGGATGGTGGGCCCTGTGCATTTCCGCTTCTTTTGCACCTGCCTCTTCTTATCCGCTTCCAAGCGTTCGTACGTCTCTGCAAGAGTCAGGGAGGGGCTCAGCGGCAGCGGCGAGGAGGGCCTCCCACCTTTGACCTCCCTCCCCCCCATGCAGCAAACCTCTGGCCCAAAATCCTGGAATCCTTCCCGCTTTTTAAACCCGGATTAAGCCGGGAACGCAGGCGAGAATAGAGGCATTTCTCTCTTTCCAAAATGGATTATTTCTGCTCCATTTGTCCCAGAGACCAACAGCGTTCATCACGCCGACCAACACATTCCATAAAATATAACGGGGATGCAGACTAAAACCCCTCGGAACAGGCCAATAGTTGAGAGGTATTTGAAGACAGCTTCTGCCTTTCTCGATGGGGACTAGCTGCTTTTTGCAAGCGAACTGCCCCCCTCCCGGCTTACCCAGAGAGCGCAGGTTGAGCTCCTCGGTGATCTTGGCCTCCCTCAGGAGCTCTTCCTGGGTCAGGGGTCGGTCGTAGCTGGGTCCTCCCCCCTTCTTGCGCCTAGACTGCACCTGGCGCTCCTGGAGGCGCAGAAACGTCTGGCGGGTGTGCTCGGTGGTCGACTGGCGCATGTATTTCCGGCCTGCAGAGTGGAGGGAGGAAGAGGAGGGCGAGCAAGGGAGCTTCAGGCCAGGCTCGGGAGAGAAGGAAGCGCCTGACAGCCCCTCCCCCCCCCGCCCAGCTGCCCCCTCCAGGGGGATACTCACTGTCCACTGTGTCTTCCAGTTCTGCAGGTGCCGATCTGTCCTCTCTGGTCTTCTGCGAGCTGCTGGCCGGGACATCGGGCTTCTTCAGCCTCAGGCTTTTGATGGGTTCCTGCAAAAGGTTCAGGCTCACTCAGTGGCACGTCACTAAGCGGGTGAGAAAGCCTTTGGGGGCCTGGAGAGAACAGCCTTCTCTCTTCCTGGGCAGCATCAGAAAGAAGAGCAACTAAGACGAGGAAGGGCCCAGGGACAAAAACATACGAAGGACGGTTGCAGGAAGTGGGCTTGGCCAGTCTGGAGGAAAGAAGGAATGGGGGGGGGGGGGGCATGATAGCCTTGTTCTGATATCTCAGGGCTGCCCCAAAGAAGAGGGAGTCAAGCTGTTCTCCAAAGCACCAGAAGGCAGGGCAAGAAGCAACGGGTGCAAACCAATCAAGGAAGGAACCAACCTAGAAATGAGGAGGAATTTCCCGAGTGAGTACAATTCAACATCGCTGGAGGTTTTTAAGAAGAGGCTGAACAGCCACTTGTCTGCAATGGCATAGGCTGTCCTGTTCACGCAGCGGGTTGGGCTAGAAGACCTCCAGGGTCCCTTCCAGCTGTACTCTGACTGAAAAGGGGCTGCTTTGGGGCCGGGGCTGGCCAGACACTGCTGCCGCCCTACGAGGGTCTCACCTTGTAGGCCTTGGTGACCACCCTCCTCTTCCTCTTGGGCACCGAGTCGTCCTGGTCGCTGCTGGGCTCGTCCCCTTCGTCGATGTCGAAGTCGGAGTCCACTTCGTCCTCGCTGTCCGACTGGTCCCCTTTGTACTCATCGTCGCCCGATTCCTGCCGAAAGATTTCAGACTCCCGCGTCCCATCCTTCCAGGCGATGCCGTTGGACTACAAAGCCCATCCCCTCCCCATCTGCCAGGAGGGTGGATGTGGCAGCCCCGCATCTCCCGAGATGGGAAAGGCTGCAGATCTCTCACAAAAAAAGCCCATCCTTCCCGCCCTGGAACCGAAATGGGGAGGATGGGTCCGCGAATCAAGGCCGGCCCGGGGGCGACCGGTTGGGGACGCGCGTCCTGGAAGAAGTGTTAACCCCGCCCCTCTTCCTTTATTCCAGCCAATCCCGCGCGAGCCCCGCCCCTTTCCTCCTGGCCCCGCCCCCCGCGGTCCTCCCTGGCCGCGGACCTCGGTGAAGCCCCCGTAGGTGGTCTGGTAGAACTCGTCCTCCTCCTCGGCGTTCAGCAGCCCCGAGAGCCGGTTCCCCGCCGTCCGCCGCGGCGCTCGCCCGCCGGCCAGGCCCGAGGAAGAAGAGGCGGAGGCCGACGAGCTCGCCGCTCCCGCCGCCGCCATCATGCCGCCGCCTCCTCCTCCTCCTCCTCCCGCCCGCGATCCATGCGCTCGGCTCGCCACTGCGGCGCCTGCGGAGGCGGAAGCGCTCAGCCGGGCGGCCAGGCGGGAGAAGTCGAGCGCCGAGGCGGCGAGCGGGGAATGAGCCAAGCGAGCGCCCATGGAGGAAGCGGGGCCGCCCTCGCAGCAGTAGCAGCAGCAGCAGCAGCAACCGGGCCCCCCCGGCTCTCTTTTATGGAGCGGGGGAGGCAGACGGGCGGCTTCCGGGCTTGGCTCGGCGCCCCCGCCCCGGATAAGTAGGGGGAGGGCTTTGCGAGGTAGACTGCTGCTGGACCTGGAGCCTCCATTGGCGTCCGGGGCTGATGGAGGAGCCCACGGCCGGGGCGGTGGCTCCCTTTGGTTGGGGGGGGCCGGGGGGGGGGCCTCGCAAGCCCTGCTCGGAATTTGCAAGGATTAAAAGGGTTTTTTTTAAAAAAAAAAGAAAAGAAAATCAGACCCTGGACTTTTTCTAAAATGGCTGGTTAGGAGACTTCGGATGCGGTTGTATTTTTAGGGGGCCATT